ATGTCCCCAGGCCAGCCAGAACCGACCCCTCGCCGGGACGCCCCCAGGCCAGCCAGAACCGACCCCTCGCCGGGACGCCCCCAGGCCAGCCAGAACCGACCCCTCGCCGGGACGCCCCCAGGCCAGCCAGAACCAAACTGCAACTGGGCGAGTCCAACTGGGATATCCCCAGACCAGCCAGAACCGACCCAACACCAGGATGTCCCCAGGCCAGCCAGAACCAAACAAGCCCAATTCTCTTGTCCTACATCAATGTCCGAGTGCCTGCTGACAGCATGTCCCCATGCCTGTGACCTGCCCATCCAGAGACTGTTGGACACAGTTTCTCTACCTGGGCCTGGGCAGAGCTGGTCTCCTCTTTCGTTCCCTCCCTCTGTTCCATCCGCACTCCTTGGTCCCCCCCTCACCTGCCCTCCCGCCATCCCCACTTACTCCCCCGGTTCAATCTCCCCTCCCAGTCTGCTCCGCTCTTCCCAAGGCTCCCCAGTTCCCTGTTCCACTCCATCCCTGCTGCCCCCATCCACTTCCATCTCCCCTCTCACCTGTTCTCCCGCTTCGCTCCATGGTATCTCTCACCTCCCAGTTCCCTATTCCCCCCAGGTCCTTCTCCCTCCCCTGCACCACGCCATCCCACACCTGCTCCTCCTGGTGCTGCCGGATGAGCTGGGCGATCTCCTGCTGCTCGTGCGGGTCTAGCTTCTTCACGAAGAAGAGCAGCTCCCACCACTCGGCCCGGCTCAGGGCCTCCGAGTCCTCGCTCAGCCGCTCCGTCAGGTAGGGCAGGGAGTACAGCCCCCCAAGGGGCTTGCAGTAAAACGTCTGGGTCACTGCATGGGGGCACAGCAAGGCAGAGACAAACCCTGAGCGCCTCAGCAGGACAGTTACCCTGCTGCAGAACCATCGGAGCCAGGAGGGGACAGCCGGCCTGGGCCAGTCAGGCAGCCAAGGGCCAGCATTCAAAGGGAGTTTAGTCTCTTAACAGGCTGGCCGGATTCCCAGTCTGTCATCTGCCGGCAACCAGAGCGAGCGCATGAAGCAAGAGCAGAGAACACTGGGTGGCTGTCAGGACCCGCTCAGAGCTGAGGGGAGATCCAGCAGGCATTTTAAAGAAAAGGATTGCCATTGAAACGGATTGAAATCTGAGCTCACTCGTCACAGACAGCTGCTCAGTTCAATCCACACGCGCCAGGCGGCCGGTGGGGTGTAGCAAGAGGAGAAATTATTACAGTCCCACTCGTCATTTTGGGGACACGACACCATCACAGAGACTGACCACTGGCTACAGAACTGTCAACAAAGGAAAGGGGGCAGGAAAGGGGGGACGTCTAGGGGGTACTGTGGAGATCAGGGGTTAGTCTTACTTAACAGCCTCCCTAGCATCTGGAAGAAGGGAGTAAGCAGCATCTTAACCGGCAGGCTCTGCTCCGCTTGGGGGAGCGGAGAACGCCTGTGAGGACTGAAAAATAAAGAAGGACCTGAAGAGAACAAACATTTGCTCAGTAGAAGCACCTGCTTTTGGTGCTCAAAAACAACGGTCCCAGGGCCGTACAAGGACCTTGGCAGAGAGATTTCCCGCACACCAAAACTGCAAGCATAAAAGGCCCCATTTGTTCACTGCTGTATTAACTGGCGTGAGGGTCCTGGGCTCATCACAGTAGTGAATAGATGTGGCTTGAGGGCGGAGTACTCAGAGATCTTAGTTTCGTGTAGGCCCAGATTTGATACTGGTGGCGAGAAGGGGCGTGATTTCTACCAATATAGTTAGACCATTACACTGGTATAAGTATGCCTTATACTGGTCTAGCTCGGTCCTCTTCCCAGGCAGGAATAAGCGATATCGGTATAAACACGTTTATCCTGGTATAACTGCATCCACACCAGGGACCGTAGCAATGTAACTCTGTCAGTATAGTTAAAGCAGTACGATCTGTGTGTCTAGACAAGGCCTTGGTCCCTGTGGCAACAAGCATGACAAAACTGGTCCCCCTGCTGGGCTCCTAGGCACTGGATACAATGAATAATTAATAACAATATCAATCGTTCATTAAGCACCTAACAATCAAAACAATTCCCTTTCAAAGGTGTGAATCCTATAGGAGGCTGACTAGCATTCGCAGCTTGCCTTTCAGTCTAGGTTTAAAACCCCAGCGATTTACACACAACAAAACTGAACATCTCGGAAAGCCAAGCACTCAGAAGTTAGGAAACGCGGGAATTAAGGTTCCCTGTACAACCTTAACTCGGCCCCCTTGTGTGTTCGCATTAAGATACAGTCTTGAATTACGTGACCACATGCTGTTTTTTCCACAGTGCCCCTTTAAAAAGGATTTAGGGGTCACGGTGGACCAGCAACTCGATGTGAGCTCCCAGTGCAACCCTGGGCCAAAAAGGGCTAATGCGACCCCAGCAGGTGTAAACCGGGGAGGAGGGAACAGGAGCGGGGATGTGATTTGACTCCATATACAGCCCTAGCGAGACTGAGGCTGGAATACAGCGTCCGGTTCTGGTGTCCACGTTTTAAGAAGGTTGAAAAATTGGAGAGGGGGCAGAGAAGAGCCACAAAAACAACAAGAGGCTTGGAGAAAATGCCTCACAGTGAGAGACTTAAAGCGCTCAGTCTGTTTAGCTGGTCAAAGAAGAGACTGCCGGGTGACTCGACTGTGGTGTCTACGTACCTCCATGGGGACAGAAGGGCTCTTTAACCCCCCAGAGAAGGACAGAACAAGAGCCAGCGTCTGGAAGCTGAAGCCAGACAAATTCAGATTAGAAATAAGGCCGGATTTTGAACAGTGAGGATGATCAACCCATGGAACATACTACCAAGAGAAGTGGTGGATTCTCCGGCTTGGTCCACACTAACCCCCCACTTCAGACTAAGGTACGTTAATAACGTAGCTGAATTCGAAGTACCTTAGTCCGAACTTACCGCGGGTCCAGACGCGGCAGGGAGGCTCCCCCGTCGATGCCGCGTACTCCTCTCGCCGAGCTGGAGTACCGGCGTCGACGGCAAGCACTTCTGGGATCGTTCCGGGATCGATTTATTGCGTCTAGACCAGACGCGATAAATCGATCCCAGAACATCGATTGCCTGTCACCGGACCCGGAGGTAAGTGTAGACGTACCCTCCATCTCTTCAAAGCAAGATGGAATCACTTTCTAGAAGTTGCTTTAGCTAAACCCAATCTATTAAACTCAATATTGGGGTCAACTTGGTGAAATTCTCTGGCCTGTGTTCCACAGGAGGTCAGACTAGAGCAGTGGTTCTCGGCCGGGGGTACGCAGGGGTCACATCTACTCATCTAGATATTTGCCTAGTTTTACAACAGGCTACAGAAAAAGCACCAGCAAAGTCAGTACAAATTAACATTTCATACGATGACTTGTTTATACGGCTCTATATGCTATACACTGACATGTAAGTACAATATTTATATTCCAGTTGATTAATTTTAATAATTGTATGGTAAAAATGAGAAAGTCAGCAATTTTTCAGTAACTGTGTGGCTGTGACACTTTTGTATTTCTATGTCTGATTTTGTAAGCAAGTCGTTTTTAAGTGAGGTGAAATTGGGGGTGCACAAGACAAATCGGACTCCTGTAAGGGGTCCAGTAGTCTGGAAAGGTTGAGAGCCACTGGACTAGATGATCTTGTGGTTCCTGTCTGGCCTTAAATGCTATGAATCGTTACTAGAATACCACATCCAGTTCCAGCCTCCACACGTGAAGAAGGATGTTGCAAAAATAAAGAGGTCAGAGAAGAGCCATAAGAATGATCAACAGTCTGGAAAACATGCAAGCCTCTTAAAGAGCTTAGGCTCTGTCTACACTTGCAGAGTTTTGGCGCTGTCAGTTTCACCGGTGATGGGGAACTGGGGAAAGAAAAGCGCTGGTTTGTGTCCTCACTCACTGCCACAGGCGTCAGAGTGTGTTCACATCTGCAGCACTTCCGTGGCTGATGAGAGCAGCTATCCCACAGTGCAGCTCTCTCCAGGGTCCCTGCCCAGCCTCCTGTCCCCAAACACGGATCAGCTCCGGTAACTCAGCATTGATCCAAGCAGGGGATCGTTGCTCTGTGGAGCAGCCATTGTCACCTGGCCAGATAAGTGAGCACTTGCCAAGAAAACAGGAAGGGGAGTTTCAAAGCTCCCAGGGGGGTTACAGGGGAGGGGTGGACGTCTGTTTAGCAGCAGAGCTGCTGGCCAGAATGGTCACCTAGGCACTGTGGGAGATCCTCTGGAGGCTAAAAGCTCTGTAAACAGGAAGAACGTCTCTTCACTTGCACATCACTGCAAACGCATCACTGGTAAGAGCTGTATATGCCTCTCGGGGTTTTCTGTTTGCGGTGAAACTTCTGAGTTTCACCGCAAAAAGACATTAGCACGTGTAGACGCTCCCAGAGTTTTTGCGCAAAAAATGGACTTTTTCCACTTTAAATGGCAAGTGTAGGCATGCCCAGCCTCTATTTACCTTATTGAAAGGAAGGGTAAAAGGAGCCCTGATCATGGTCCGTAAGTTCTTACGCAGGGAGAAGGTATCATCCATCACTAGAGAGCTCGGTAATAGAAGGGCTTGTCTACATGCAGACTGCACAGGGTAAAGGTGTGATTTTAAACAAATATATTTAAAGCATTGCCAAAGCTGTGGGGCCACACTTATTCCAGTTTAAATCAGATTTATTTCAGGTAAACTAGCTTGAGTAGGAATAGATATAAGCTAAACTGAATTAAACCATGTGTAAACTGAAATAAGAGCATCCCCACAGGGGTTTGCAGCCGTTTCACTAAACCAGTTTTGAATTAAGCCAAAGCAAGCTGGTGTTCCGGCAAAGTTTAACTGACAGACATCACACGGGGCAGTGGCTGGCGGTCAGTGATGGAGAAAGCCAAACTGGAAATAGAAGCACGCTTTTCTAACTGAGAGGGTGACTGAAGACAAACAGCTTACTCTCTGCCGCTTGGAGTCCTTACATCAAGACTGCATGTCTGTCTAAAAGATGCATCCTACTTCAACAACAAATCGTTGGGTTCAATGCAGGAATTACCGGGGCAATTCTCTACCATGTGTTACGCGGGAGGTCAGACTAGATGAACTATGAAAAAGATTTTCAAAAGCAACTAAATTTTGGGGGCCTCGATTTTGGGGTGTTCAACTTAAGACACCTTAAAGGGATGTGATTTTCAGAAATTGTTGGGTACCCTGCCTAGAAAAGCCAGACCTTTTAAGGTGCTTCAAGATGAATCACCAGAAATGCAGACACCCAAAATTACTAAACAGCTTTTAAAACCTTAGCCTATCGAACTCCAAAAAAAAGCACACTGGTGCTTTTAAAACTTATGAACCTACGTTGTTTTATTCATTCCTCTTGATTTTATATGCACCAAATTTCAGGTGGTTTCATTTGCAGCAAGTGCCAAAATATCAAAACATGCTGGTTCTAGCAGTTAGTTCAGTTTAATTCTAACTAGAGAATATGTGCACGTTCTAGAGTATTAAAGGACATTTTACACCTATTGTTATCTAAACACGTGTCCCATGCAGCTCTAAGTCATATCACTGACTGACAAGCTGTCATCTCTCCTACAGAACACGCAGAATTACTTTTCTCTTTAGGAAAACCCCTAGAAGAAATGTAAGTCACTCCATATTGGAAAGGAAGTGTGCGCAGTCCCGAAGTGCACCCCAAAGCATGCGGGAGCAGTAGGCAGAGCATGCACATGTACACCCAGTGCACATAACCTCACCTGTGGTTAACGTCAAGTTCTCGGTCAGACTGGATACCTTTTCCTGGGCAGCAGTTTCTTCAGGCTGCTCTCCGGCACCAATAATCTCCACCATGTGCCAGTGCACCCAGTAAGTCCGGCCTGTAGATTGCCACAAAACCTGTGGGTGAAACAGACGTGTGATCACTTCCCCGACGCCCATGTTCTATAAATAGAGAAGGGCATACGCCCACCACCATCTCACCCAGTAAGCTGTATAAACGTGGGCACACTCTGTGGTATCCACGACACACACTGTGGCTTAGTCAATATTGAGATTGGAACCTTTGCCTTTTCTGATTTTAAACAGGCAAACTGAATACTGCATTCACAAGTTCTTTGGGGTCTGTTTCTTAGGTTCTTTTTTAAAAACCAGCATCAGGAACTACTTACGTAAGTTCTACCAGCTTTGCTTGCGCTGCTTGGAAACTCCTTGCTCGTGATGTATTTGGGGTACATCTACACTGCAACTGAGAACGAGCTTCCCAGCGCAGGTCAACAGACGCACACCAGCTCTGCTCAAGCCAGGACACCACAAACAGCAGCATAGCCAGGGATAGGAGGGCAGCCACTCAGTGCAAAGCCACCCAGCCTCCTAGGCACATTCACGGACAGCTAGCCTGAGCCACTGCCCATGCAACCTTGCTAGTTGTGTGCTAGCTACAGCAGGGGCCGTGCACGTGTCTACCAGTGCCAGGAAGCCTGCTCTGAGCTGCAGTGTAGACACACCTCAGCTTCTAGAATTTAAAAGCTGCTCTCCTACTAGATATGAGAGAGAGAGTGAGTGTGCGAGCGCACACACCTAATTCTAAGTGCACAGCTAGGGCCACTGTCTGCTGTACATGCTCCGCAGACAGTCTCCAGCTTGTCCCATCGTAGCAGACTCAAAAACGACTTCTTTCAAGCCAAGCGAAGGCCTTAGCTCTCAACAGAGACTGGTACCCGGCCAAGTTTTCAAGCACAGGACACTGCTTTGACAAAGCTGGCATCATGTCTACAAGTCTGAACACAGTTCTGAAAGGCCAGTGCCTTCTGCACACTTACAATTTCAGCCCTCCTAGGCCGCAGACTTTTAAAAACCCTTATGAAGAAAGATAACAAAAGGAGGATGAGTCAGAGTCTAGGAACTTCTTAAAGACCTTGGGGGGGGGGGTAGAGGGGGGGAACCCTTCACAAATAACATCTGACAAAGCACAGGCCTGGGCCCACAAGTAAAGATTTTCATGATCAGCTGAAAGCAGAGGGAGAACTCCTAGATCACTAGAGCTGCCTTACCTCTCAGAGTTGGTAAGACAACTCCCACCTGTTCATGCTCTCTGTATGTGTGTATATATATATCCTCAATATATGTTCCACTCTATATGCATCCAAAGAAGTGGGCTGTAGCCCACGAAAGCTTATGCTCTAATAAATTTGTTAGTCTCTAAGGTGCCACAAGTACTCCTGTTCTTAGAGCTGCCATGTCCTCCAGGCTAGAGGTCAGTGAGATGATTGGTGTGCCAGCAATCCTCCAGTTTTAACTTAAGGAGGGAGAGTGTGTTATACTAGTGTGGACAGGAGAAGTGGGCAGGTGCAATGGGATGATAGATTTTTATGCACAGTAAAGGGCCTGGAAGAAAAAGGGGACCTCCGGGGACAGAATTTTGTTGTGGAGGATGGAAACTGAACGGCTGGTGGATAAAGACGGGGGCCGAGCAGGGAAGAGCAAGTCCATATGGTGAAAGTGCCACGCCTGGCAAATGAGGGCTCTGCTGTAGGCAGTATACAGTGACTGATCAAGTGAGGCCAGGCCACGGAACAGAGAAGTGAGGGTGTCAAGAAGGGAGGAGAAACGGCAAGGGAGGGACTGTTTGTTTGTTAAAGCGGCCGTTACGGCTGGCAGGGCCTTCTCCGAGGGCTCAGACTCTGGAATTTGCTTCCCGCCTTGATCCAAAATAGCTCAGATTTGGTGACTTCCTGGTCACGTTACTAAGACCCCTGTTTGACATGGCTTCTGGAGAGGACAGAGGACATGCGTCCCACAGCAATTAGGGGATGGAAGTAAGTTTCTGTAGGCACTGGCTGGCTGAGCTCCTGGGGGAATGCTGCTGGATTTCACTCTATTGTATAACTAATGAGGTAGGGTGCCGAGAGCCTTGCAGAGACATCTTTTTTTACAGTTTCAACTCTAAATAAATCGGGATGCACCCAGCCATCAACTGCACAGCAGACATCTTATCTGGACACTGCGGCACACTCTCCAACCAGCTGGTCTCGCCAGTGACAGGAAGAAAGGGACAGAGCCACTGCCATTACCAGGAACTTTTATACCGTCGCCAGGCCAGATGGGCGGCTCCCCGGCTCTGGGCTCCCAAAGCCAGCTTCTCAGGCTCAAGTGTGGCACGGCTCAGTGCACCAAGACTGATCATGCCTGGGGCAGCCAGGACAGCTCACAGCACATCTGTGGAGGATGCTGCACACACGCCGGATAGTTGCTCTTTTCATGGGAGGGGTGGGGGTCTGGAGGACTGGACGCTGCTGATTCAGAGGCTGCTGACTGGGTCAGGATGGTTTTTAAATCTAGCCTTCCTTGTCTTGGCCACACGCAATGGCTCGCTCTCTATCTCAAGGAAGGAGATGGTTTCAGTGAAGCTGACCGGGAGGGTTGTGAGGGCGGCGGAGGCAGCCAAGGAAGATAGCGTAATGGGCTAGGCAAAGCAGAGTGCTGGTCTGGGGAAGGCCAAAGCTCTGGAGGAAGTTGGGCACTGACGGAGGAGGGAAGAGAACGTCCCTGGTGGCCCCATGTTTTAAGCAAGGGAAAAGAAAGCAGAGAGGATGGAGTAGGGTCAAGTGGGTCACAGCACAGGGTCACAGAGAGGAGCTGTGGCCACATCTGGGCAGGATTCTAAAGCCCCTTCTGTGATGCTGGCAGACCAGGTGCCAGCTCGCGCCAAGGCCTCACTGAACACTGACAAATGCAGAGCTGGAAACCGGTCTGGCTCACCTGCGGGTTGGTATAGTTACAATAGATATCAGAGTTATAGGAATGTGATTAGACTTTATGGAATGCTTGTAGGATGAATTTTACTATCTGTCTCTCATGCTATAAGGCAGTACATTAGTGTTTGCTCTGTAACTGTAAAATGTTTGCTCTGAAACGCCGTAACGCACTAAACAAGAAAAAACATTGCCTAGTGCAAAACGCTGGATTCCTACAGCAGGTGGTATCTTCTGCCCAGCAGAAAGGACTACCAAATCCAACTGGGCCATTGTGGAACAAAGACTTTGCCCATTGCTCCCCACACACACCCATGAAGAGGTTACGTTCAGAAGCACTCATCCCATCAGCTTGGACTCTAGGGACGTGACGATAAAAACCCATGACCAGGAGGAATTGGGGTCCTTTTGCGCTGTCTGGACTCTAAGGGGCAAAGATTTCTAAGCATAAACAAGAGATCCCCAGGCTGCTTGGCCTGGGTCAGCCCTAAAGGACACACACAGCTGCTTATCATAGAAGCCGAAAGTACCTATTTAAATCTAAGACTGCAACTCATTGCTGCGCATGTTTCCTGTTTTAACCTTGTAAATAACCCTAATTTCTCTTCTTACTTACTACATCTTTAGACCAGGTCTATACTACAGACCTGTACCAGTCTAATTACGTCACTCAGGGGCGTGAAAACTCCACCCCTTGAGCGACTTAGTAACACCAGCTTAACCCCCCGTGTAGACAGTGTGATGTCGATAGGAGGATTTCTCCCGTTGACACAGCTACCGCCTCTCGCAGAGGTGGATTAACGACACCGACGGGAGACGCTCTCCCATTGGTGTAGAAGCGTCTTCACTTAAGCACTACTGTGGCACAGCTGTGCCAGTGCAGCGTTTTAAGTGTAGACCTGCCCTAAGTTAGTTTATTGGCTACAGGCCCGGTCTTTGGTTTGAAATCTGAGTACAACTGACCTGGGGTAAGTGACTGGTCCTTGGGGACTGGGAGTGACCTGAATATTGTTGTGATTTTTGGTGAAAAGTGACT